AGTAGCAAATTCTTGATAGAGGGTATTCTATTTGAATATAAAAATGCTGCAATAGATCTTCTCAAAGAAAAATGTTCGTTGATCAGAGTTCGAACATATTAATCAAAAAAATGATCAATATTTGTATAGAATGCAAGAGACACGCTTTACTTCATGTAGAGAAAACGAGAACGACACACTACATTTTAAATACACATACATAGACCACAAAGAAAAATGCAAAAAGGATTTTTTCAGCCTGATTCGAGTGAATCGATCTAACCGCGTTCTTTGTTGAAGTTGATATTAAGGATGTAGAGGTTGGTGTTGGTGTTGTTTGCGTTGTTGTGAACATTGTGGACGATCGTGTAGTCGTAGTTGTTGGTGGAATGGGCACATTAAGTGGTAAGACATAGTTATGTTGAATCATGTCAATGACACGTTGCGCTGTTGTTGATGAGGCACATGAGGCCTTGTTGCAAGTATAGAACATCTCTTCAGTAGCGAGCTCTTGAGTGAATACTTCAATCCATTCAAGGAGCGGGTGATTCGTAGAATTTGCACATGTACTTCCGAATTTGGGAGCTGAACCGTCGAACTCATTTATATAGGATGCACTACAGAATCCTTCGCCAGAACAATTTTGACGAGCTGAACAAATCTCTTGAGGTCGAAGATCACTTGAATTAAAGAGAAGATCCGTTAGATTCTTTCTCAAACTCATCACTTCGTTCTGGACTTTGAGCCAATCAGCTCTCAAGGCTTCTTTGACAAAGTCTTGATCACAGTTGTCCGTCGTAGAACAATCAAGATGAATCGTTACATTGGACGTTTCATCGTAAAGTGAAAAAAAGTATACGCAAAGAAAGAAAAACTGTTTGAAGGCGTTTTAGCATTGAGACGTCCAATAATCGAATGAGAAATGTAGTTAATTGTTAACTCAACTTGACAACTATGCTCGGTGCTTGGTTTATCGACAACGGTACAAGATGGAAAAGTGATATTGTCGATCTGAGTGGTGAAATCGCAGCTCGTGGTACAAATAAGCGTATCAACAAGTCGCGTCGATATTGATAACAAGAAGAAGAAGTGGAACATGAGAGGTGAGTGTGAAAATCGCCGCATGCTCGATTGTTGTCGTTGTGATGTGTTCTTTCATAGCTGTAGATGAAACTTGTCGCGTAGTATTTGTTCTCTTTTATCAGGATCCGTTTCTTCTGTCATACTTCTAAATATGAGATATTAGTATTTACTTATTTTTTGCGATCATGTTTCTCGAAAAAGACGCTTATCAGTGCAATGTGTATAGGGCTGGAATACGATACTAACTCAAAGTCATCTATGATATCTCAGAAGAGTTATTCACGTATACAAAATTCTCAATAAAACCAGAATAGTTCGAACTAAATTGACATCTGTCTGTTTATTTAATTGAGATATCCTTTGCATTCTTCGGGTGTGAGTGTGGATGTGGGTACGTGTGTTATTCACGAGAAGTCCCACACAGAGATGCACTAAATCTAAGTCCTATCAAATCTAAACATTAGATTTGACTGGATTTGACTAGTAAATTTCTACCAAAGGTAATCGGGATCGAGAAATTCGAATCTGCTATCAGCTTCGCAAAACGTTATCCGTCGCTTCTCACACTGGGGAAAGCTGCCGTAGGAAAGTTCGCTAACAAATCCAGTGAACAGTTTTGAAAAACTGATAGCATATTCGAATTCTGCCATTCCGATTACCTATGGTAGAACTTTATAAAAAAAAATTGTTACTTTCTCCCAAAATCCTTTCTTTAGTGAAAAATCAAGTAGAAAATTTCGAGAAACTAATAATAGATTCGGATTCTCTGATCCCAATTACCTTTGAAAGAAATTTGCTAGCCAAATCCTGATCTAATCGAGTTAAATTCGATCAAATCAAGTCAAATTGAGACCTAGTCAAATCCAAGCATAGATTTGGATCTGATACATGCCTACTGACAAGTGACACAGAAAAAATATCTTTGTTTTTTGATAATTGGATTAGTAAATTCTTTCTTTATGGAATGCTCTTATACTTACAGTAGAGTCTTTTTATTTTGAAATATTCTCGTTTTAGTTGAAATGTTTGTTCCATATTTTATATAGACTTTTTCATCACAATTTTTTCTTCTAATTAATTTTTCAATAAGCATTCGTTGAATTATTTAGTTATGTTATGATTTGTGTTGTTTGTTGGCAATCCCTTTTGAGTTGATGTTACTTTTTCATGAGAACATGAATCGATAATGTTTTTCAATAGTGTTACATTCTTTAAAAAAATAATATCTTAATTAGTAAGCAGTGTCATAATGACAGGTCGAGCAGTTTTCAGTAGAAAGAGAACATTGCTGTTGAAAATATAAAGTTATACTAGATTTTTCATTTTCTAGAAAATATTCGTGTCGTAAAATCGTTGTCTGTTTCTAAGGAAGCCTATATGAATTCATCAAGCATTTCCTAACCAAAACTCCAGAGTTGAATTTCTACTATCTTGATTATCGCATTTTCGAGAAAAGTAAAAATTTGGTGATGAATTAATACGGATGTCCACAGAATATCTCCTCCAATTTTTTGTACCTTGTTTTATGATTTACAGTGAAGGAGTGTCAAACTTTAAAGCTAGCAATTGGAGTTAATAACAATGTATTGGAGATTAGCAAAGCGTTTATGGATCAATTCTTTTCTAGACTGTGTGAATCATCTGATAATGCTACATAAATGATATGTATGCTTGGCATCTAAACACACAATAATATATCAAAATTATTACTTTTTCCGTCATAAAAAACACATGATGTGTTTCTTTCACATTCGCATCATAAATGAGCTGATTCTTAGACTTGTGTCACTATATAGTGAAAACTATCCAAGCATGAAGCTGCTAGCACAAAGCCGTTCGTTATCGTTCAAGGCAAAACGAAAGGGTTATATTGAACTTCGAAAAGAAGTTCGCCGTCTATGTAATGTAACACGGTTTGAATTAAAATCTTTTCAAAAGGAACAGTTGACTAAGCAGTTAAAAAGAAAGGTACTTACCTGGTAAAGCCTCTCAGTTATTTTGGAGCAAAACGAAAAGACACTCGCGGCATGTATCATCATCATTTAGGGGATTCTTGTCTCCAAGTAGTGAAATTATAAAAGACTCGCAAATAATGGCAAACAGGATGTGGCTGAGTGCGGGTGTGGGCGTTATTTTTCTTGAACACTCTATATTTTTTCAAAATCGGAAGAAACTCCATAATGATTTCTCTAAATTAGGAGAAAATCTGAGTCAAAATTTTCGAAGCAAGGAGTACCTTCTCCCAACCCCTCCTGCTCGCGCCGCTCCTGGAATCAGTTGATATTTAAAAAAGCATAATTTCATAAAAGATTATATTAACAGAAGTTGATTATAATGTTTTTTTCGACAAGAAACAGACGGAGAAAGAAAATTTCTAGCATGCTATAGTCAGTTGTCTAACTCATTATCGCTCTGCCAATACTGAGAATAGCATACTTATTACATTTTTTTGAAAAGGTTGCGCCTTGGAAAGCCCTAACCTCTCTATTGTGGAAACTTTCGAAAAGTCCGTGTAGTATCCACCAGAGAGAAGTTTCACTCTATATGTAAGTCAATCTAAAAATGAATACGATCATACAAATAAAACAGAATGTTTTATTCTAATCAACAGTGTATCATCCGTCGTATATTTTTGATTTCTATAATACAATTATTGCATTGATTGAGCAAAAGGATATACTAAAAGAAAAACATTTATTATTTTTCATATTAACAATCTATTTTATTTTCTTGAATTTTAGTATTATCCGGAACGAAAAGATTTCATTAATTGTACTTATAATGATATCTGTAACTTTTCTTGTATACAACAAATAAAATATACATTTTAATAGTTTATTATAATAAACTTTAGAGTAATCAATTGAAAAATGAATCTAAAAAATAAATAATTATTTGCTCACAAGTGAAGAAAAGGAAAATATAATTAAGCATTATAGTGGCAACATCGATAAAAAATGAGAAAAAAAATTGTATTGGCTATATCAAAGCAAATACAAATCATTCATCATGTTTTGATAAAGAAAAAAAGAAAAGAAAACAACATGAACGTTGAAGCTAATGACACGTTAGAAAGAAAAGAGAATAAGAAGTATTGAATCATTAATTTCATATAGATATACTATTATTTATTCATATGTTATCATACTTTTTAGATCTAATCATCGAGCTTGATCATCGTATATAATTATAGAAAACGTCAATGTCGTTTAATTATAGATTTTAAAAATATATCTTCTGAACAAGACTCTGCTATTTATACTGCATCCATTACAATTGAGTCACTGCATTTTTAAGAATCTAGCAATTTCTACTATTCTAAAATCATCTGTTTTAGTCCTTCCATATATGCCGGTATTGATGATCTTCGAGCATTAGATGAATAAGATTTAAACATTTGGGGCATCGTAAGAAAATATTCTTGCTCAAATTGAAATCGATTTATTTGTTGAGATAGTACAAAGAAGCTTTAGAAAAGAAAATTTGAGATCAATTTAATTTATCAGAAAATGATACACTCAAACCAGTTCAAGTAGCCACACATGTTGTAGCTGGAAGATATTATTTTTTCAAGGTATTACATACGTTTTTTGAAAATCATAGTTAATTGTATTAATAAATTCTTAACTGACAATAGGTTAAATTACCCAATAAAATATATACGACAGCTCGTGTTTGGCATGCTCCATGGCAATGAAAATCAAGTTGCTGTACACGAACAACTTTCTGAAAATCCAAATGAAAACCTTGATCATTTTTAAAAATTTACACAATACAATAAATAAAAATTTCCATATCTAATTATTTTATTCATCTATTTAATCTTAAATTATTTCGTATAGTTTATCTATTAAAACTGTATAGGTAGAATCTCTCTTAGAAAAAATCAGATACATGAGGCTTTTGTATTCAATGTGCTGACTATGTATTTTATCATTTTAACCAATTTCTTTAGACAAAATAAAATAAACAATATTGCCATAAGAAATAATTGCGTAACAAATTAGTCCACTTGTATGATGTAAAAATCAATACTGAATGATAACAAGAGCATTGCTTTTGTTTTTTTAGTTCTAAGTGAGTTTTTAGCTGAATATAATCAAAAATCATTTCTACGAAAAATAAATGTGATAGATTTTCTTAATCGAGAGCTACATTGCTGATGAAAAGTTCTGTTTAGAAATGTACGGGAAGGCAATGTCTAATGAGGAAACCACACTAGTTGATATCTGCCGTTAGAGCTCATATATTGGACCAAGAAGGAGGTCTTGATGATGGGGGAAAACACTATAGTTTTCGTCGTCAGTGGATGTCGAAGCCAAGTTTTGACTGCTTCACTAAATTTTCGAGCGACCTTTTAGTTATTTACAGAAAAATTAAATAATCTAATTTCAATCTAAAATTTTGCTCATAGATAGGTCTAATGGTCCTTAGAATATTTTGAAATTTTCAGTCAAAAACAATGTTCTTTTATAAAATATTGAATTCTTCAAATAAACTGGTTTTTTGTGGCATATCTGCGACCAACGACTATTTTTCTGAAATTAAATATCTCATCAAAAAAGCATTCCTTTTGGATGAAAATTACAAGATATTCTAAGGATGATTAGATCTGTCTATGAGCAAAATTTTTGGGTCGAAATTGAATTACTTGATTTCTCGATAAATACCTTAAAGTGACCCGAAAATTCAGTGAAAAAGTTAAGTATGGTTCGAAGACTCATTGGGACGAACTCTTCTAAGATTTTACTAGTCTCATTGAAAACTCCTTGTGGATCCGATATGAGCTCAAATGGAATGTGTCAGCTCGCGTGATTCCCTGGTAAGTTGATGATGTGTATAAGTGTGGATGTGGGTATGAGTGGGTGTGGGTATTGCTGAAGAGCAGATCGACATCACACCCACACCCACACGTCAACTCCAGAGTAGAAGAGCGAAGATACGAGTAGCATGAAAATAGTTTATTTGATTTCTTCTCCAAGTAACATATTATTTTATAGCTTATAAATTTCGCGGTGAAAACTTTCTCTTAAAAATGTCCTGTTTGAGTGAGTGTCTGGCTGTTACATGCGTCTGTGAGGACAATTGAATATGTGTCACTGCTGACCGTTTGATTTGTGCCCGTCAATTGAAATTGTGCTTCAATAAAATATGGAAACCCGCTGCCTGAAATCGTTTGTCCCGAAATAATTGTCCATATGTAAGTGATTTGTGAAGCCGTAGTGTTTTGTGTCTGTGTCACAGTATTTGACCAGAATGTATTGTATTGGTTGGCAAAACTAGCACCCACAGTACGTTGAACAACGATTTGCCCAGTAAAGTTTGATAGAGTTTGAGTGCAATTGATATCGACATGTTCGACGCCGTAGTAACCTGATGATGTCAATGTATACCAGGTCGAATAAGTACAGACATTTAATGGACAAGCTGTGGAGATTGAACTAGCCTAGAATAAATTGCACGTTCCACGGTCGTATTTCAAAAAATATTCATTAACACACAGGTCAATATTTCATTATTTTAAAAACTTCCCGAGCACTATATTCCATAATTTACTTTTTGAAAATTTTGCCGGTCAAAACTTATATTTTCCTCAAATAACTAATTGATTGGTCGTAAATAATTTTAGTTTTATTGTTTTCCACCTTTCCCATCTTTATTACCCTCAACTGAGCTCCTTTTTTTTTTTACTAATGTTTTTCCATTGATTCAGAAACGTACCGAAGACAGAGATTAAGGAGCTGTATTCTTGCCTTCAGGAAAATATTTCGCACAACGAAGATTTTCGATTTTTGGCAGCTTAGTCGCTTCTCCCTGTAAAAAACATACAGTTCATCCTATGAAAATGTCACCTTTAAACTGCATGCAACATGTACTGATTATTTTATTGTCCGACGCAAATCTCAAAAATATTATGAAACACTATGCACAGCAAAAAAGTAATGAAACAATAAGTTTAAAGACATCATTTGCTAGGAGTCTACGATAGAGAAAAATTAAAATGTTCATCACTCAGACTTTGAAAAACTTGACGAGATTCTGGTTATTTTTATTCACTCTCCAAAAAAATTGCGATTTCTTAATAACAGAATCTTTTAATAAAACAAAGCAAAATAAGTCCAACTTCAGCAAATGAATTTTGGTTTCGTTCGTTTCAAGACAAATGATTAGTCAATATGGTGAGATTTCTCATGTCTGAAATTGGCCCGAAGAATTTATGCCTTTTGTTTTATCGTACTAACTAAGATCAATATCTTTCAACTTCGCGTCCGATTGCGGATAAGATCGGTTTCACATCAGATATATTAATTGAAAGAATTGTCTTACTACATGATGAGAAAGAAAGTTTTGAAAACTACGTGAAAATATTTTGAAACTATGTCCTAACGCATGTTCAGCCATTCGAGAAATTAAGCTGTGTGAGAAAATACGTTAATGTTTTCATATTTAATTGTCAGGATAAAACTATCAATACATATTGTGTAGAGAATATTTCGCTGAAAAATCAGTTCAACCGAATGAAAGGAGTAAAAGAAAATTTAAAAACACCATTACTATTATATTTTATGGAGTGTAGATGTAAGTTTTGTGTGTGTCTGCGTGAATGTATCTAGGTACAATTATGGATTAGTAAAAGACTATGCAACATCAACAGCCAAATTCAATATATTATATTCCATGATGTTGATGTATTGACAATCCTCATTTAGCCCGATTTGTCTTCGAAAAGCTGTGATGAAAATACCAATACTAGAATGTTTTCCGTTTTCGAAGTTAAATATGTAAACAAAGCTACTGGAGTACAACAGACGTTTGCCCTTCACTGTCTACGAAAACTGATGAAAGCGAGTGAGAATAACTTGTCAACAATTAGCGAAATAAAGGAGACTATAGAAAAACAGATTATACTCATTACAGCCAAAAGATCAACTGAACTCGAACCAACCACTCGCAACTTAAATCGAATTAAAGCCAAAACAGTTCAGCTCGTTTGAGGTCTGTATCGATTATGGATTTTTTAGAATTGCCGAATATGCTCAAAAAAGGCTTTCATTTCTTCCGAATCAACCTCTATGGTTCAAGATTAGTCTGAATAAGTGAATGTCAAGAGTGAAAATGCACAAATTCAGTATGCATGAACCCTTTTGAATCTGTTTTAAGAAGAATTCAAGCCCTGAAATAACAGTTGCACTTGGAATCTGTTTCAAAGTAACTGCTCATCTGTCGATGGATTCAGATAAAATTCTATGTAAACTGGGGTGGTGTAGGTGTTATCATTCAATTCTGGAAAATTTTCGTTTTTTCTTCGTCGAAATTCAGCATTTTGTTTATGTTATAGTGGGTTCGTAGTTTCGTGAACAACAGTCGATCTTCCATCAATTTTATTGTCATCAAATCCTTCCTAGATGAACTTACAATAGTTGTAGAACTTGCAGAAGAACTGCTGCTTGATATACTTGATACCTACAAAAAATAACAATTTTTCGACAAAAAAGGTGATGAATATCTTTTCATTTACTGTTGTACTATTTGATCCGATTGCTGATGTCACTACAAAAATGTTTGAACGTGAGAAAGAAAAATATAATTGAGAAAGTATTGACCTCCTGTCACTATGGTCGATGTCGTAGTTTGCTGAATTTGATACAGAACAACAGCAGGAATGATTGCGGCGAGTGTTCCAATCATCAATAGACCGAGAATAAGTGCAACTACTTTCAGTAGATTGTTGTAACGACTAGATAAACGAACAAGAAAATACTCATTTAAGGGCTAATTCGTTCAACAATTATCGTACGATGATTGTTGAATTTCTGATGGCACATCAGGAATTGCTTTCGTATTGGCTTCGACAAAAGTTGTCTTCGTATTAGCTTTGATAGAAGTTTTCTCATTCTTTCGCATGGCTGTTCGAGTATGTGAGAGCACCGACACTAACAATTGCCTAGTGTTTTTATTTCTTTTTTCTCCATTGCGCTCTAATTGTTTCTTCAAATGGACTTTGTCATGTTCTCCAAACAAAAAAGGCATTTGCTTTTGTAATCATTCGCTATGATCCAATCAGGCAAATAGCGAAAAAGAAAGCTTTAAAGCGCATCGAAATGTTAACGAAAATAGACTTGTAAAAAAAGTACATTTTAACATGCTATGAATGCGTTAAAATTTTTAACGGAGTTAAACGCATCGGTAGATTTTACCGAAAACAAAATCGTTAGGGTGTGAGCGTGTGTCCATCGTTAATCTACACCTATATTCACACTCACACCCTGGCACACACATCACGATTCATGGCTTGAACATCGAGGAAAGTTGACTGATGATCAACTTGCCATTTTGAATTGACGCACTCATTTCCCAGTTATCATGCTCGAAAACCTTATTTAGATGAATGTCTGATATAAACACGAACGAACTCATTATATATTCTCACTGTTTTCGATTATTTTCTCTGAATGAATCCTGATAATTACGGTTTTGTCTTCCTTATTACGATCTTGAAAATGTATTTTTGAGTTTTCAATCATATTCGCCTAAATGCAGAGTGCGCATTGTGAGAATAAGAGACATGACTCATTGCTTCTGTGGTTTAAGGAGAAATGATCAGTTTAATTTGACCATAGTCAGAAAATCTCTGCTAGAAATAATACATCTGGATTTGCGATTAGTAGAGAGAATAGCTCGAATGAGTTTATTCATCTAGTACTATCGAAATCTTGTGATTATAGCTGGTGGATACGATGCCAAAATCCTAACAGTTCTAAACTTGCTGTGGTGAGCTAAAGATTTCAACTATTTTAACCGGATGAGTTTGTTTATCCTCTTCTTAGATTGCACCAGAGATTCAACCATTGATCCTTTATAATAATATGAGTTCATCACTGCTGGAACATCATATCAGCTTTTCTGTGAATAGTATGGCGATCTATAGAAACAGGACGAATGTGTTCGAATGCGTAAATATCATAGGCGCCTTCGAAACAGGGTGTGGGTGTGGGTGTGGGTGTGGGTGTGGGTGGGTGTGGGTGTGGGTGTGGGTGTGGGTGTGGGTGTGGGTGGGGTGTGGGTGTGGATGTGAGTAGGATATGGCTGTGGCTGAAGACAACACCAATAGACACATCCACCGTCACCCACATCCTGCTCAATAGCAGAACAATGATTCTTCCATTCTTTTTTTCTCTTCACAGGATCGTGCCGTCATACTTGACAGCAAGCAAGCGAGATAAAACAATGAATCAATGAGGCTTTTTTCATTGCAGCTATGGAAACATTGAAAAGAATTCATCGTAGATCTCACAGAGGAATCAACGATTTCTATATTTCCTGTTGTGTTGCGTGGTGTATGAGATATGATTGTGGAAGAGGTGAAACACCCGACGTCCTTTTCACCGCTATTTGACATGACAGTGAAGATTATGGCGGAAGCTCAACACCATACCAGCTTATCATTATTCCGAAACGATGGATTGTCTTCACTGTTGACTGATCTACAAGATAGATTGATTGATTTTCTCGAATGCGAGATTATCTTTTAGAGGATTTCAATCTTTCAACTTTTTCTCTCTAATTATCAAACGACCAAAAATTTGTCCTATATGAATCTTGAAGTTGAAATTTTACTAGATTCAATAAAATCAAATTCGAGTTTATAGCTTAATGGAATCACATGAAAAATTGTTCAACATTTGTGCCATTATTTTTGCATCATACATTATCATAATCGACTGCCCGATAACAATTGAACTTCGGTTGTTTCATTGGATATTTTAGATTTTTTTGTTTTTCATCAAATAATTTCAATTTTTAAAGTAAAATGCATGTTTTCTTGCTTGACATTTTTAGAAATATGCACTATAGGATGGAACAAAACATTTCACCTTGACTTTTTAATGCGAATCAATTCACAGTATTTGCAACACATTGTTGATATGTGACAACGGATAGGTATAACTTTATCATTTCGAGAAAATGTTTCGAGATCGCTGTGAATTTTATTTCAATTTCATGTGTACAATTAAGTATTGTCTAATTACAGAAGTTCAAGTGTTTGATTCCATTTTGAATAAGTTGAAAAAATGCCTTACGAAAAACGCTACCACTGATTGTGTACAAATAAAATCCAATACAATTGGGGATATTTGAGAACTGAATAACTAAAGCAAAAATAAAACTTTCAAGTGCTCGTTGACTTGCTGATTTTGGTTGATGGAATGTGTACGTTGAATAGAACTTTTGTCCTGCTAGTGGCAGAGTAAATACAGTGAGAAGAATAACTTGTACGAATAACATCACTGTCAGACTTCTTTCATCTTTTCGAATTGGTCCACGAGTGGTGCTTATTGCAGTAATAGATGTAGGTCCTACTTGTCGAGATCGTTGAATATTGCCAATGGTAAGCAAGCCTGCTACAAGCATCACTATTGATGGAATGATTATTGAGATGAGTGCTTGCATAAGATCATTGAAGATACGACACGCATCAGATTTGGCATAGCATTTCTGTGGAGTTCCTATCATATTCGCATCGAAACAATAGGCAGCTTCAACCCACATTACTAATGAGCCGAAAAGAATAATCATGATCCAGCGATAAGTATTTTTCAAATTACTCATTTGACGTCGATTAGCATTTACAGATGAAACCAAACAACGATCAATCATAGCAAAAGCAATGAACCACGCAGAGCTTGCACGCATTGAGAGCACAATGATGATTCGCAGTTTACATAATACAGGTACCGTCTCAGGTTGGTCTGGAATCTTGAACACACTTTGAAGTGCGTGTGGTGTAAGACTCGCAATGACACTAATCAAACTTGTTATATTAGCCATGAGAAAATAGATGACACATGGTTTGGAACGAAGTGATGGTTGTGCGAATACCAAACAGCTTAGTAGATTTCCGACAATGGCAAAGAATAGAAGACTGATTGACATGTACAAATTGACTTGGTTCGCAGCATATTGCATTGAAGCAATATAAGATATTGTTGCATTATTACTTGCCATTTTTCGGATGAGCTGCTATCCTAGAAATAAAATTCACTATGTTGTGGATTTAACGTATGAGACTGTTTTGAGAGTGCAGGTGTGAGATGTGGGTATAGAATATGGGACGTGTGTGTGTGTGTCCTATTTTCACTCTCATCCCTTTTCATCGTCACCCGCACCCACACATCTACTGTATCGATATTCTGTGATCAAATTTCTTTTTTTTTTGACTATGTATTGCCACGTAATAGACATAAAAGATATATATAGTATTCTCAGAGAATTCTCGATATTAGTAGGTGAAATGTCGAGGGCCAATACAATAATAAACAATGCACATGGAATATCAGTTTCATATTAAACAATAACACTAGTACGAAGAAAAAACTAGAGAAAATAATTTTTTTCTATTTATTTTGATGGAATGAATATATATATATATATATATATAGTGGTTAGAACGCATCAATGTGTAAAGTCTATTTTCATCATTACATTTCTTTTTTTTTTCTTTGTCAATCTTACATTCTTTTTTTATCGAGCAGAAGCATCTTGTGGAATTCCAGCAGCGACACATACCCAAAAAATGATAGGTATGAGCATATCTTCTGAAGGAAATGCCACGTCTCTCGAAGGTAACGAGCGAGAGATGGATAATATACTAATCTCGTTACAAGGATATGGTATCTTCTACGAAGATGTCCTCACATCTTCAATTTTCTAGATATGTAATACTCCTCAAAATCTCACATTCATATCATCAGCATGTCAAAATGATTGCCTTGAACGCTACTTCTTTAAAAAAAATCAGCAGAAAGTGAATTAGTTCGTTTTGAACAAAGAGCAATGAATCAATACAACATCAACTTTTTGCCATTCACTCTCCTCAAAATCTCATCATAGTTGAGTAACTATAAAGAAATTCATCAGTATTCATGAGAATGATGAAAATGGAAGAGAAGTTGTTGATTTTCGTTAATTCGATGCCCACAATGTTGCGAGTGGTTCATAAAGAATGGAACACTTTTATTTTATATTTTTGAAGATCAGAAACACGGTTCAAAAGCTCAATTCTGAGCTGATTCGATAGAAAATTCTTCACCTTACAAAACTGTTGATTTTATCTTTCAAATATGCTTTTCTTCTCAACAAAAATTGGAAAAGATTAACATCTACTTAAGTGTCCAATTATGATCTTCATAGAGAACTTTATGCTCTATGATTTCAAGGTGTACGTGTGAGTGTTTGGGGTGAATTTGGGTGTGGAATATTTATGTAGAAGAAGTGGATACCCACAGCCCACCCTACATCCACACTCACACCCCACACCCACATCTCACACCCACCCAAAATTATTGTCCATAAATACTAATAGCTATGACTTAGACAAGTCATACTATCAAAATGGGCATACTATTTAGTTAGGTTTAACAGTACGAATTATCTATAAAAACATTCTGGTTTTCGGCCAAAAAATGTGATTTGATACTTGGAAGGATTACCTCTCATTTGCGAGCAAGAAGAAAACAAATTTTAAGTAAATTAAAATTTTTAAAATTTCGTTTGATTTAAATTTGATACTTTTGTTAATTTTTTGTAAAACAATTTAAATTTATATTTAACTTTTAAAAATTCGGTTACTGCGAACGAATATTAAAAGTAAATTGTTTCAAAAGATTTTTATAAAAATTAATTTTTTTACTAAGCATGTTGCAATTTGTAGAGGTCGTTAGTTTTTTGACAATAAAAACTTTTTAAGCTTCAGATCGTTATTGCAATTTGTAGAGGACGCAAGTTTTTGATAATAGAAAGTTCCTGATATTTAGTGCAATTTGTGGAGAACGTAAGATTTTGATCGAAGTAGGTTTTTAAATTTGGTACTATTGCTGTAATTTGTAGAGGACGTTAGATTTTAG